AAACCTCATCTGTACTAAAAATACAAAAATTAGCTAGGTGTGGTGGGGGGCATGTATGGTCCCAGCTACTCAGGAGGCAAAGGCAGGAGAATCACTGGAGTCCGGGAAGTGGAGACTGCAGTAAGCCAAGATGGTGCCACTGCACTCCAGCCTGGGTGACAAAAGGAGACTCCATCTCAAAAACAACAAGAAACAATACAGGATGCTACGAAGAAACATCAGATCGGCCATTGCATGGATGGGGTGGAGAGCCAGGGCTAAGCCTTGCTTTATGGAAACATATCAGCAAGGTAAAGAGGAAATGTTTTCATCCTGGTTTCAAGGTGACTATGCAGCTAAGCAAGCTGACTCAAAAGAGATGAAGACTGACGCTCAGAGCAGTGAAACCTGAGGAACAATCTCTCCAAATAAATAGGCAAGGCTCCCAGGTTCCTTGAAAATAAATAGAAATTCCAGGGACATTGTTCAGGGAAGATGACCTAACGACATGAGAGATACTGAATCAAAGCTAGGAGACCTGACAGACACCTCCTGTACACCTCCTGCACACAGGTGACCATGAGCTTGTCACACTGGTCTGGGGTCTGGTAACTTGATTCTTGGGCCTCAGAGACAAATGCATGGCATGAGCTAAGGATGAGATAAAAATTCCCTGGTATCTGTGTTTAGTATCCCATGATAGGTTTTTATTCAAACCGATTTGTCTGTATAGAGCCTGTCTTCACAGTTATCTTCCTCAGCCTAGACAGAGGTACCAAAAACAAGGAATGTAGAGGTACCTGAAAGAATGATTAGAGCATCCTCCACCACATCATGAGATGATTCACTCTCTACAACCAGCGCAGAGTCGACATTCTCTTCCTCAAATGTGATTTCATTGGTGTCTCTGTGAGGCTGGCTGGAGTCAGTAGGGCCACAGCTATTTGAATGAGTGATGACACATTTCTCCAGTGAGTCCTCAGGGACTTTCTTGACTTCAATCTTCTGCACCTCCCTGATGAGCCAGATGGGATAGAGATGACAAAAGATTAAACAAAGAGGGATTGGACCCCAGGGAGTCCTTGCTGGTTTTCACAGGAGTAATGAGAGAGTGGTCCCAGAAAGCAAATGGGAGGTTCCCTTGGAGAGGAAACAGGCAATCCTCCTCTCTGCAACAGAGCATGGCTGCCATGGGAACCGGAGAGAAAGACAGCAGCTGGTATTCATCACACTGGGCAGAAAGGAGCCGAGAAGAAAAGAGACTCAGTTATCCCTGTAAAATTCAGACACGGCATGCAGCACATACAAAGAACCACAACAGCTGCCACACCCTGTGTCTAAGGTGGATTGAACTGAACATATTGTGGCCAGGGAATGCAGGCTTTTGGCCCATGGGAGACGCCAGAGAGGGTGTGCTTCTAGACATTTTCCATACTTTATCACCCATTACTTACTCCTGATTATTCAGTGTTACCTGGGGGCACGTGATTCCTGTATTTTCTCAGCCTTCACAACATGAACATCTTCATCTTCATCTTTGTTGTTTTCTGCAAGTACAGATGTGTTCGTTCAGATATTTCCCATTTCACACTCTGCAAGGACAGTCAGCCCAATGTGCGCAGGGACATGAACATCTGTGTATGGGTCCCCATTCTACTGAAAGCTCTCATGTTTTCTCTTTAACAAAATGCCCCGGTATGGTTTCCTGATCCACCAGGCAGTGCATTTCTGATCAGGAGGCTCACCATCAAGATAAGGCCAAATGTTGAAAACACTTCTGCTCTCCACATCACTGGAGGCTTGTGCAGTCTCTCTCTGGACTTTGGCAGCTGTCTCTGCCATCCTGACACAGATCTGATTCCCAGGGACAGGCTTGGGATCCTGTCACAGTTCACATTTACAACCTATTTCTTTCTGTTAGGAGAGGAAAACAAACTTGTCCCACAATCCTCTGCACATCAGGTGGCTTCACAGGCCCTCCAAGTGGCTTCTGCTATGTTATTCAGGGACATTCTCTCCACGGGGAGTGCTCCAGTCTGAACCACTTCCTACCACCAAATGACCACACATCAAGTGCTTTCTCCAACACCACACAGCAAGGGGGCTCTATCTCATTGTGATAAGCAGTCATAAGTGTTCGCACATTTGAACGCTTCAGACACTGCAAGATGTCTGCCTTTGCAGATGGAGAGAGAGAAATTTACCTGCCTTTGCAGATGAAGACAGAGAAAGTCAGCAAGGAGAAATCAATTGCTCACTGACAGTTCCTAGGAACACTGCTGAAGATACAGCCTGGGAACCTTCATTCTTACTCCAGAGCTCTTTCCACTCCAACAACCGCCCTCCTGTCACAGCTTCCTTCATGTCCTTTACAACTGGAGAGATGCTGCCTCTTGCTCCAAAGACCACCATCCATCATGGAAGGAGGGACATTTACAATACTGTGACCTCCAACCCCATGGGTTTCCCATCTGTGTTCTCGTTCAGAAAGTCCTAGTCACGTCATGGCCACATATGTTTAGTGGAAGAAAACACCACTGATAAAACTGTCATCACAGAAGTATGGAGGTCTGGAGTCTCTCATAAGGCCATAAAGGAAATATTTACAGACTAATAAAGTTTCTGTTATGCTAGACACAGTAGAATGAAGAACTAACAGACAGTGTTTACTCTGTGCCAACAACTGTCTCCAAGAAGCAACTTGGATGGAGCTCAGGAGACTGGCCCAGGGTCCCTCCTCTACGTACTGCTGCCTCCACAAAGTAGTGCGTGCTGTCATTCTTCCTCTTAACCAACAAGAGCCTCTGCACAGAAAGCAGGACGTCCCTATGACCAGAGTAATCACTGCTCTTGATGAGGCCACTTACAGATACCACAGGTTATGTAAGGAGCAGAGTCCTCTTTCAGCTCCCAATAGTGGGTATAGTGTGCTACCATCGCATTTCCCCCAGAACACAGCTTTTCCTACTGAGCCTCAGCAGAAACCAGAACCGAATGGAAGTTCAGTAGCCTCAGACACTTAGAACAACAAAATAGATGCAACTTTTCTGCAGGATCTTAGGTGGTATAGAGAGGATTCCTGTAAACATGATTTAGCCTCTTGCTGAGAAACAGAGGTGCTTCTGCAGAAACACCTGAGACTTTACCCTCAGTCCCACACCTGCCTTACTGCAGATGTGGAAAAGTTGCTACATACTTTGGCCTCTCTCATCCACCTTTAACAAAATGTTAAAATACCCATTTATATTTTCCTAGACGTATGGCAAAAATGAAATTAATTCTGATGAAGAGAGTCTTTAGTGTCTCAGAGGAAACACAGAACATCATTCAGCACTCTGGTGACGGTGAACCTGTGGAACTTACTTTCTGTCTTCAGCCTGCAGCCGGGGTAGTGGGCCACTTGACTGGTAAGAAGTTTATTTTTGCTGTCTTTGTATCTCTGTTCCTCCTCATGATGTTTCAGATCTTCTGTAAGCAAATTCAGAAGAGCAGGTCAGATTAAGCAAATCGCACTTCATACAAGACCAAATCGTCATATCACAAAAATGAAAAATATTCTGTTTAAGAATGTGATATTCTGATGGGAGTGTTCTTCTGGTCCCTAGATTAATTCATCCTAGAAGTAGATAAGCCTACTTTTCAAATCCGTGAAAGAAAATCTCCCTCATCTGCTAGATCTTAATCATGTATCCTCTGAGCTAAGTCAGCACAAGCAATGAAAACTTTTTCCCCAAAATCTTCAAAAATCGCCCTAACTACTTTCCAGAAGCATTGCAGTAATACTGATTTATCTCATCATATATGATGGTCAACAAAGGGTTAGAGAAATTTATAGAGGAGACTGGACCGACGGATGAATTCTAACAACGTTTACATAAAAAAGAATCTGTGGAGGCAGCACAGTGACTCACTCCTGGTATCGGAGCAATTTAGGAGACCCAGGAAGGGAGATCACTTGACCTCAGGAGTTCAAGACCAGCCTGGCCAACATGGTGAAACCCCGCCTCTACTAAAAATACAAAAACTAGCCAAGTGTGATGGTGTCCACTGGTGATCCCAGCCAACTAACAGGCTGAGTCATGAATACAGAGGTACTCCCTGCTCTTGATGCTGCCACTTACCAATACCACAGGATGTGGAAGGAGCACAGTGCTGTGTAAACTCCCCACAGCGGGTACTGTGTGCTATCACCGTGTTTACCCCCATGTCCCCAGAACACTGCTTTGCCTACTGGGCCTCAGCAGAAACTGGAACCAAATGGAAGTTCAGTAGCCTCAGACATTTAGACCAACAGACTAGATGCTGCTTGTCTGAAGGATCTTAGGTGGTACAGAGAGGACTCCTGTAAACATGATTTAGCCTCTTGCTGAGAAACACAGGTGCTTCTGTGCCTGTGTCAGAAATCAACACCTGAGACTTTTCCCTCAGTCCCACACCCGCCTTACTATAGATGTGGAAAAGTTTCTACATAATTTTGCCTCTCTCGTCCACCTTTAACAAAATATTAAAATACCCATTTATATTTTCCTAGATGTATGGCAAAAATGAAATTAACTCTGATGAAGAGAGCCTTTAGTTTCTCAGAGGAAACACAGAACTTCGTTCAGGACTTTCATGATGGTGAACCTATGGAGCTTACTTTCCGTCTTCAGCCTGAAGCGCAGGTAGTGGGCCACTTGACTCGTAAGAAGTTTATTTTTGCTGTCTCTCTGTTTCTGTCCTTCCTCATGACATTTCTGATCTTCTGTAAACGAATTCAGAAGAAAAGGTCACATTAAGCAAATCACACTTCACACAAGGCCAAATCAGTGTCTAGTCATATCACAAAAATGAAAAATATCCTCAGTTTAAGAATGTGATATTCTGACTGGAATGTTCTATCGGGCCCTAGATTAAGTCACCTCAGAAGTAGATGAGCCTGCTTTTCAGGCCCATGGGACAAAATCTCTTTCATCTTGTAGATATTAATCATCTATCCTGTGACCTAAGTCAGTGAAAACAGTTAAAACTTTTTCCCCAAAAATCTTCAAAAATTGCCCTAACTACTTTCCAGAAGGTTTGCTGCAATACTAATTATCTCATCATATATCATGGTCAATGAATGTTTAGAGAAATTTATATAGGATACTGGGCCGACGGATGCATTCTAACAACTTTTACTTTAAAAAGAATCTGTGGATCCAGCATGGTGGCTCACACCTGGAATCCAAGCAACATAGGAGGCCCAGGCACGCAGATCACCTGACCTCAGGAGTTCAAGACCAGCCTGGCAAACATGGTGAAACCTTGCCTCTACATAAAGTACAAAACTTAGCCAGGTGTAGTGGTGCCCACCGGGGATCCCAGATAATTGGCAGGCTGAGGCACCAGTACCAGGGTACTCCCAGCTCTTGATGGTGCCACTTACAGACACCACAGGTTCTATTAGGAGCAGGGTCCCCTTTAAGTTCCTCACAAGGGGTAATGTCTGCTATCACCGTGTTTCCCCCAGGGTCCCCAGAACACAGCTTTGCCTACTGGGTCTTTACCAGAAAGCAGAACTGCATGGAAGTTCAGTAGCCTCAGACCTTTAGACCAGCAGACTAGATGCTGCTTGTCTGTAGGACCTTATATGGTAGAGAGAGGATTCCTGTAAACATGGATTCAGCCTCTTGCCGAGAAAAACAGGTGGTTCTGTGCCTGAGTCAGGAATCAATAGCTGGGATTGTAACCCCAGCCCCACACCCATCTTACTGCAGATGTGGAAATGTTGCTAAATATTTTGGCATCTGTCTTCCATTTTAACTAAATGTTAAAATACCCACTGCTATTTTCTACAAGTATGGGAAGGATGAAATTAATTTTGATGGAGAGAGCAGTTAGTTTCTCCAGACAAGACAGGACATCATTCATCACTTTCGTGGTGGTCAACCTATAGGACTTACTGTATGTCTTCAGCCGATAGTTC